CACTAAAATATGGATGATTGTCTACGTTATGGAATGATTTTTATTTTTCAAATGCCGTCACTCGGCGTTGTTTTTTCTCCTCTCGGCACGAAATTTAATTTTTAAATCGGGACACCACAACGTCTGGAATGAAAACAATAAATTGTAGTTTTAGATCTCATTAAGTAACATTTTTCTTAATGAGAATATATTTTTTAACACCATGGAGTAAAGTAAAATACATAATATTTGGGTTTATTGTTGTTATTTGATTTTTATTTCCCAGTTTTTTACAAAAAAATTTATGTGTAAGACCGAAGTATTTTGAACCCGTTTGTGATTTTGACATTGGTGATCTACAAAGTGCACACTTCGTACGTTAAAACTGTTATGTATACACAAATTGGGTATATGTGCTTTTCACTGGTGTTTGAAGAATAGTTTCAATTCTGTAGATGGTTAAAAGTGGATTGTGCTAATTTGGTTATCCTCTATCAACAAATTCGGCCGTTCTTCTTCAACTATTAACACCAGATGTTTTAAGTCGATTTTTCTTTTTCTTCTGTGACGCAACTACCTTAGTCCTGACTTGCCATTGGTGGCTTTGCCGTTAAACAATTTGCCTTGTTCGATTGCCAGACCCACACTAAAACCTCTTTTAGCTATGGTAGTTAATTTTAATAACATTCATTAATTATACCACAATATACCAAATGTAAACATCTATTCATTATTTTAAATATTAGCAGTCCAGGTGTGAATGAACGCGTCATTATTACACCTTAACGTATTCTGCCTTTTTTTATTTCTGCATGATTGTCTGGTCCTTTGAAAAACAAGTCAAGTTCGGTGTGAAACAGACTTTAAAGTGTTGTCAAAGGTTTGAGAATGAAATGAAAAATGAAACGTTAAATGCTTTACGTAGATTACGAGAAATGGAACAATTGCGTGATTTGATCAGCTTGTTTTGTTATAGTTTTCATTTTAAATAGAATTCGGTATCTTCTTGTCTGGCGTCTAGATTGTTTGCAAATTTTAGCTATATTGTAAATATATTTTTCTGATCGTCTTCACAAAAATTCGCTAACGTCATGTCATAATTTACTAAGTGAATCCCATGTCCAAAGTAATATGCTTCTGTGACTTGTTAATCCATTCCTATTTTTAACCTTATGCATAGGTTTTTACTATCTTTGCAAGTCTTCAAATAACATTAATAGAAACTCTTATTCGCTATAGTTTGATCGAAAAAGCTAATTAGGAGAAGTGGTTTCGGTAAAAAGAAGATTCTATTTCAATAGTGTTGCTACTAAGAAACGGTAATTTTTTTGTTGACTTTGTTGGTTATATTATGATTCATTTAGTGGATTATTCACAGTTCGTAGTTCCTCGGTGTTAACCATTTTTTTTTTTCACATTGCTGTAATTTATTTTTTCGTTCTCCTAAAAGTTTACCAGATATTATATTCATGTTTATTAACTGCCCATCAAAAGTTAAGGATATTGATGAAAGACATGTTCATTATTAGTTTTTTGATAATTTTCGAAACAATTGAGTAGGCTTAAATTAAATTAATTACGATATCCCTAACTTTCGACGAGCAGTTTATATATGTATTAGGGTGATTCAAAAAAAAAAAATAATTTTTTTTTCGTGTCAAAGAGGTTCAAAAGTTTCTTTTCAACGTAAAAAAATACCAGTTAAAAGTTGAGCTCTTAATATTAATATTAAGACCGTCCGCATCGCGTTTTTCTATTTCCCATAAGAATAACATGGGAAAATTTTTGTTTGCACCTTCTGATTTTTATTGCTAGCCCGTCGTGTGTCGTGAAAAAAATTCAATCACATATTTTTATAGAGAATTGAACGCTCTACAAAAAGTGTCTCCTATGATTTTGCGAGAAACCTTACTATGATTTTTTAACCCACTGATGCTGAAAATGTTCGGAAAGAGTTTTACTGGCCTTATTATAGCATAAAATTATAAACAATTACTGTTTAAAAAACTAAATTTAAAATGTGTATACATTTTTGTGGTGATTTATTCCAATAAGACCATCAAATTTATTGTAATGCATCAAAAACGTCAAAATTTGGATAAATTTAACTTTAGCCTAAAATAACTCTTCAACTATCAGGTTTCTCGCACAATCATAGGAGACACTTTTTGTAGAGCGTTCAATTCTCTATAAAAATATGTGATTGAATTTTTTTCACGACACACGACGGGCTAGCAATAAAAATCAGAAGGTGCAAACAAAAATTTTCCCATGTTATTCTTATGGGAAATAGAACAACGCGATGCGGACGGTCTTAATATTAATATTAAGAGCTCAAATTTTAACTGGTATTTTTTTACGTTGAAAAGAAACTTTTGAACCTCTTTGCACGAAAAAAAAAAATTTTTTTTTTTTTTGAATCACCCTAATATGTATATATGGTTTAAATTGAATTAAATTAAATTTTTGGGGTTGTATTATCGCCACCTGTGCTGCTTACTTCTACAGTCCCGGATTACTCATAATTGATCTTTAAAAAAATATACCAAATCTGGAACTTAAAATATAAATTTAAGTGTATACCAATAATCATGAGAACAGTCTTAACTCTTATGGTTCTTATTATTACCGTCATAAGAAATTCACTTGGACGTTTTGAAGCACTGGATTCTGACGGAATGTCAATGGGGCGCCAGATTTTTGTTGTCTTTTTAAGTTTCATGCAGTCGTGCTGAAAGAATATATTTTTCGAGACATATATTTTTGAGCAATTTGTTTGCTTGGTTGACTGATGTGACTAGTATTTGCGAATAGGCTGGGGACGATTAATGAATAAAGAACACGAAAAATGAATAGCGAAACTAAGGAGATTCTTTTTATACAAAATTGTGTTCTGCACTTTTTCTTTCGGTGCTCAGGTGTGATCAAAAAATAAAAAAACTAACAGAATCCTTGAAGTTATTTTGAAATTCTCATAATTTTAGCTTTAATGTGATTTATTTAATAGGTACTTATAGTAAAAATAATTAAATTATGTTTTGCTGTGGATTGATTTTTTAAAATATACAAAGTTCTCTAAATAGTCTTCCATAACAATGAATTCCGGTGATAAAGTACAAATAATTCAAATATACAAAAATCTATGGGATATTCCAGTTAAAGAAGGAATTTTATATTTAATGTGCAACGTATAGGATTATAGAAAATTAGAAAATATTTGTATATTCTGTACCTAAATGAACTCAGTTCGATTACCGTATCATAAAAAAAAATCAACATAGGAAAATCAACGAAGTAATGTCTTGTTTTTCTATTTATTTATGGATTTTATGCATTATTTTATTACCAATGTATGTATGTTATATGCAGTATATTTACATATCATTTTTAGTAATTTGGTAAAGGGCGATAAAAATAAAACCAGATTGTGTCTTTTTGTTACTATTTTAGATGTGGTATGATGTTGGGACAGCTAAATTTATGATTTTCCACCAAATTAAACACAGAAAAATTCAGGTCGAAAGTATACAATCAAAATGGATAGATATTAATGTTTCGGGTGAAAGTTTAGAGCATGAGCTAAGGACGAATGTGGCAATACATATAATGAGTCCAGAGTGTCAATTACACTACACTTTTCCAACAATTGACTGGGACTTTACTAATGCGTTTCAACACACATCGAATCACAGTTCTATTAAACAGTTATAGGGAAAAATGATTACCAAGGTAGAAATAAAAATTTACCGGAAATGATAAGACATATTATAGATTATAGAAAACAAGGAAAATGTATTAAAAATGGTGAAAAAATGGGGTTGAAGCAAAAAAAAAAAAACGAAGCGAGGAAACAGTTCAACAAACATTCAAGATGGAGGGGAATTTAATAATGGGGAATAAAAAGAACAAAAAAAATTCATGGTAAAGAAAGAAAAGTTTAAAAATCGTTACAATAGAACTAAATATAAAAATTAAATTAAAAAGGTAGATTTTAACTATTTGCAGGTGATGATTGATTAAATTTTTTTTAAGCATTTCAATTTTTCCAAAATTTTACTATTTTCATTATTATAATAAGAAAACTCAATGTCAACTGCAGTGTAATTTATGCATTTTTTAAAGGGCAACCGGTCCATAATAAATAAGTGAAAGCGTTAATGATACCTAAATAAAAACACCATAAGATGCAAGAACTGGATAGAGGTTTTTAATGATAACGTTATAGCTGGTTTAAAATTTTGCCATATCGAAATTGACACAAACTTAATTGTTGCTACATCCGATTGACCCCAGCAATTAATTTGGCCTTGCCTCAATTACAGTGTAAACACACCCTGCTCGTTTAATTCGGTTTAATGCACATCTCAAGATTTTTCGATTGTAAAAACATCGTTCAAACCGTCAATCATTTTCCTTGCTCCCATACGTTGATAATTAAAATAGACAAACCCACGATTACGTGTTGAATAAAAATAAGCCAGTACATAAATGGTCCTCAAGGTCGAACTAATTTTACTAAAACAAATATGTTTATGTAATATTGGTAATTTGCATAACGAACTTGACCCGAAATCAAATAGTTTTCTCGTGTTAAAATCACTCAGTACATTGACGGTTCAACCAAAGAAAGGAAATTGATAAATCTGCTTGCTTTTCTTTATCGCTTTCCCACTAATTTATTTACTCATGAAGATACAGAATTGCAGTCTGGACACTATTGACTCCACTCTATTTAGTTAATTGTCGCGAAGGATGCCACTGTCATGTTTTATAAATAATCTAACATTAACTGTACATTCCGCAGACCGATAACACTTTCCTTTTAAAACTCTGACGAATCGTTATCAGTGGTTTCAATTTCGGGCAATAATAGTCACCCACTTTGCCCAATTTTGTCAATTAATTGTGGTAGTGCCTTTGAACACGATGGAGGTTAAAACTCACAGCGCTTGTCTCTCACCTTACGATGAATTCGGTACGTTTTGAAAATTTTTTTCTTAAAAAATTACATCAATTTTCAGATGCTCTCTTGGCCGATCTTCAAAACACGGTCTCTCCGGGGAGTGTTAGCGGAGGTAGCTCAGGATACGGCTCTTTGAACACGTCTCGAACCACAAGACAGTCTCCGAGCTGTGAAAGCCCTGCACCGAAAGTCGACTCCTACAGTGTCAGATCCGTAAGTTTTTCTTAAAATTAAATTTGCCGCTTGAAATAACTATTTAGTTATTATCCGAATGTAGGAGCGCCATCTGCACCGTTACTGCGAAAGCGTGTTCTGTATTTATTTTTAAGAGCGGAAATTCCACCCATTCTCGAAATTTCCAATAGATACCGCTAGTGGGAGGTCCGTTTTGTAAACTTACGTCAGTTTAAATTTTTTATTACGCCAATAAAAAAAATGAAGACGTTAAGGTGGAAATTTGGCGTTTGAATGGGTGGTGTAATGACGTCATTGTATGTTTTGTTTTTGGTTTTTATATTGTTTAGTGTGAGTCAAGTCGGTGGAATTTTGTTCCCTAAAAATGTATTTTTGTCGGTTCCTATTTATCATTATTTATGTGGAACATAGTTTCGCATTACTTTGAGCGAAAATAGGTTGGAATGGGGTTGCTTTAACTGAGGTTCGAACTCGAACTAAATTTAGGTTCTGTCCATAAATCATCGCCTATTTTAACTTAATTAGTTGTTTACAAGGTTTGGGAGAATTAAAAATTGCACCGTGACACTGTTTCTGTATTTTTTATAAGAAATGATTTTTGGTGGTTTGGTAGAGTGGGTGCCTGTATTTTTTCTTACACTGAATGATTAAAATTTATTGCGTCTACTGCACAAACAGGTTAATTTTATTTTCGTTGCCGACTGTTTAATTAGTTGTACAGTTCTTCCCACTCATTATTTAGATCATCTTTGTATTTATATATCTATTACTTTGTTTTTTCACTAAAGCTTCTACTTATTTTGTTTGTTATTGAATTAAATCACTATTTTCTATGCTGACTATAACAATTATTGATTGGCAATCAATCGTGTTGCTTAACGCCTTCTTTTTATCAAATTCATCATGTGCTGTTTATTTTTTTTTTGTGCTATTAAAGAGGAAGTTTTGTTATTTGCTTTTCTTAGTTGAAATGTAATTTTTTGAAGATGGTAGTCTTATTTTCTGTAAATCTTCACAGATAATTCTGTAAATTTATTTATAGTATTTAAGTATGTCCGATGATCTTGTAGGTAGGTAGTTCTATTCAATTTTATAAATTATGAAGTTCTCATTGTAACACCGTAATTTGTAATAATATGAAGTTTTTGGAAAGTTGCCCAACTTCTATATTTGTTTTCTCATTTAGTTATTAAGTTTGAGATTTAAGTTGTTTTAAACATATTTTCGATGGTTTTAAGTTATAAATTATGTTTTCGGAATTTGGCTGCAGCTAGAATCTTGTAGCTCTCTTAAATGAACAAAAATATTTCTAATACATCTACATTGAAAGTAATATCTTTATAAAGAAATAATAGGCGTTTTACATTCAATTCATGCCAATAAATTGTTGTGTAAATTTTCACCACAAATTTAAATCTGTTGAACACTCAGAACAAATTAATTAGAATTTGAATTACCATTTTGCAATATAATGTTAAAGTAGAGTCCGCCAAATAATGAAAATTGACAATCTGTTTCCAAAAGTGCTTATTGGAAGCCCTCACTAAATAAAATCTTTGGGGTTATAAGTGTGATAATTTACAACGCTTGCCTGCTTTAGGGTTGCTTGTCCGAACTGGACGTCGTTGACCATTATAAGCGACAATGTTTATGTCTGATTCATTAAACATTATTCCTTTCGTACATATGATCATCATAATTCTAATCGGTTTCCAATAAACTATTGGTGGCCTCCAGTAAACAGAAAATCAGTATTCACTATTTGGCAGACTTAATTTATGTACATTAAGTCATGATGTATTATGTCTGACCATCAAACAAGTGTCTGTTAATGTACGATGTTTACTTTTTTTTTGTGAAAATTCCAATTATTATACTGATGCTGGTTTAAAATAAATATTTTCAAAATTTTTTACTGAAGAACACTTGTACGTATCTAAAATAGGTTTACCAAGCGTGAATTAAAGAAGTATTATAATAGAATCCATTTGAGGAAAGGCCAATTCGTGTTGTTTCCATATTTTACGGCTTGTATCATACGAAAGTTCCCTTTCATTATTTTCGTCTGTCTGTAATCTCCGAAACTACTAGACTGATTGAGGTGAAATTTTGAGTGTACTTTAAAACTGGTTTGGTGATTTGATTTGACGACGTTAACTCAGAATTTTGCACGAATAAATCATATGTAAATTTTATAAGATAATATACTTCCATGTTTGTGTTGTATTATTTTCAAAAATAATTCAATATAATACAAGAAAATTTGAAAATTGATTTTACAAAATACAAAACACATGGTAAACGCTAATTAAATCTGTTTATCCTCTCGAAAATTTGATGACGTCGCCTCAGAATTTTACTACATAAATTCTAAAGATAATGTGCAAAATACTGTGCGTCTACACTTGTTGTTTATACATGCATCCATATTTTGAAGAATTGTTTATACAGGGTGTCATACAGTTTAATTAATGAATCAACTAATTTTATTGATTAGTTAAATCAAAAGTGGTTTATCTAATTTTACAAACAACTAAGAAACTTACATATATGTTTAAATCAGTGTGGTTTAGAGGCGAAGGAAATTTTTTATGAGAATTTTTGAAAAAATAAAATTGTGATTGTCTTTGAATTACACCCTCATCATCTAGAAACTTGAACATTTTTTGATTATATAAACCTATCAAAAATTCAATCATTTGTATACATGTATGTTAACAATGAAATCCAACAGGGATAATATGGCGTGATCAACAAACATTATTTGAATATGCAATAGAATTAACTAATTTTGAGAAGTTTTTCTTGTGACCTAAGGCTTATTTTTTTATATAATATGTAATAATAACTTAATGATAATCAACTATAAATATTGATTTTAAACGTTATTTTCAACCGTATCAATTTTGACAACGGAAGTAGCAAAATTTGTTAATACCAACTGAAATACTACTTGTTGATCGATCACACTGTATATTAAAAATACATCCTTAACTTTGACTTTTTATCTGTTTACATCGAAAGCATTCGCCTATGTATTAAAACATACAGGTACAAATAAACGGCGGTAGCAGATAAAAAATATACATTTTTGTTAAAATAAAATTAAGCTACATGGAACAAACGTTCTGAATATTATTTTGGATAAGTAGATATTATTATGATAATTATTACTTTATAATTATTAAGTATGGAGGGGGTCAGTTTATGTTTGCGAGGGGGGCGTGTATTTTTAGTTTATAGTTTGTTTAAATTAATGATAAAAATTAATAAATAGTTAATACACAATGTTTAATATTTTTAAAAATGCTCACATTCCGATGGGAAAATACAATTAGTTGAGACTAACGCAAGCAATTTTGCCTAATTACCTAGTAAAACTTGAAGTTAGTTCTACATTGTCATGTTATACAGGTGTTGACAACTGCCATCATGTTACAACATTGATGTACTTGGCGCGGAAACAGTACAAACGATGTGGTAGAGTGGAAATTCTATGGGTAGAAAATCACTTTGATTTCGATTAGTGGTGTATCATTTGCGTTCTAAAATACGGGCTTTCAAAAAATATATTTTGATTTGTTAATTATTATGCTTTTTTAAAAGCATACATAATCACAAAAACGAACGTCAAACACCGTCGGCGGTACGACCGATACAGTTTCCTCCCCTGAAATCACAAGTCGACCCGTCCGAACACTTTTACGCCTATTGCGACATTTTATTGGTGTGTTTTTCTCAAAATATTCCGACAGTATTTCGTGCAACAGGGTGTTTACGTGCTTTTATTACTAGAAATGAGGTAACGGTACTACTCATTATACAAAGATGGTTGAACACGATTGGCATGAACACATTGGTGATATACCGCTGGTTATAATTAACTTGTGGAAAACATGTGAGTGCGGAGCTTACTGTTTGTTTTGCATACTTCTATGGAATTTTTTTAGAAGTATCTTCAAAACTAAAATAATATTACTTTAGTTCCAGCTGTGGTTCTCTACTACTGTTACTCTGATAGCAAGTTTACTAAGCACACTTTCGTGTGCTGAAAATACATTTATTTATGAGTAAAATGTAGTTGTGAGCGTACATAAAACCAGCCCGTATCAGGTCGGACTGGAGTATTTTTCGTAATTTGCCGTCTACAGTCTCCACTACATTTACTCCCGAAATCCGACACACAACTTCAATATTTTTTGTCGATTCTTCGGGCGATCGCGCCACTTTGACTTCGATGATATTAATACTCAAAATTGTTGATGGCTTTTTAAATTGTGCACAGACGATGGATGGCTGCTTGTAATTCATCATTTGACGTTGCAACAAGTTTGTGTGTGCTCATTGACTAGTCAGTTTACCGAACAGATGGAGTGATCACATGCTTACAAAGTAAGCGTCCAAGCTTGATCCCACCAACATCGAACGTGTAAAGAAATTTCGGCGCGATTGAAAATATTTTTACCTGCTTATAAATGCATCTTATATTCCTGGTTTTTGAAATAACATACAGTGTGATCCAATTGTAAACAAATTCTCATCTCTCTCCGACCTCTTCCCATTGGATTTCGAGATAGGAATAAATCTCAAGGCATTTCAATCGAAACGCTACTATTATTAAATAGTACCCAGTAACACGGTTTTCAAACGAGTTTTAATTTTTAAATCAGAAAAAAAGACACATCAATTTGACAGTAAAAATGGCAAGTTTTGTAGTTACTTTTTAGTGCATAACCTTAAGCAGTTCTACTTGAAAATGTTGAATTAGTGCGTGCTGTGGTGGGCTAAGTTTAGGTTGTGGATGCTCTGTCTCTTGTATTAAAACGGTGAAGATTTCGTCGAAATTTAAAATACCCCACGGGAAGGTGACAGTCTTTCGCCGGAGCTTCTTTATGTGACACATTTTCATATTAAAGTTCTGCTTTCTACAAGATCTTCCCAATTAAATTGGATTTTTTGTTTTAATCTGATACAATTATGATCAAAACAACCACATCACACTGACATGCTTGAAATTG